CTTCCGAAGACTGCAATGCTGAACGGGCAGTGTGCGCACCGGCCCATTCGGCTGTTAAATCTCGATCATGTTAAAAACCAGCCGTAATTCGTACGATTCTCGGCTGGTTTTCCAACATGCTCGAAATACAAAAGTCGTGCGACCGTACAGTAGAAACGGTCGCACGCCTTCCATACACTGCACGATTATCGTACGACCGCAATTCTCGTACGATAATCGTGCAGTGTATGGGCACCTTTATGCTCTCCTGTCTCCAGTCCAATGAGATATCACTTACTAGAGCCACTTTTGCACTCTCATGTAACCTATTGACTTCCAAGTATGAACTCCTGCACATTCATTCGTTCATTCCTGTTGACTTCTGAGTATGAGCTCCTGCTCTCATTTATTCCTATTGGCTTCCAAGTATTAGCTCTTGCATTCTCATTCACTCCTACTGACTTCCGAGTATGAGCTCTTGCACTCACATTTATTCCTATTGACTTCCAAGTATGAGCTCCTGCACTCTCATTCATTGCTATTGCCTTTTGAGTACGATCACCTGTGCTCTCATTCATTCCTACTGACTTCTGAGTATTAGCTTGTCCACTCTCATTCATTCCCATCTGAATGTGAGCTCCCACGCTTTCAATAGTTCCTATTGGATTCCAAGTATGAGCTCCTGCGTTCTCATTCATCCTGACCAACTTCTGAGTATGAGCTCCTGCACTTTTATTGACTTCTAGTATGAGCAGCTGTGCTCTCTCTCATTCATTCCTATCTACTTCCGAGTATTGGCTCTTACACTCTCATTCATCCCAACTGACTTTCGAGTATGAGCTCCTGCACTTTCATTCATCCCGACTGACTTCTGACTATGAGCTTGTACTTGGAACTCCAAAGGAATAAATGGGAGTTTAGAGTGAATTTGTGGGCACAGACAAGAAGATTTTGAGATATGTGGCCTAGTGAGCCATATATTTCTGGATTGTGGGCAGGCGAATATAAAGGTGCCGAAACACCTTACGATTATCGCACGATTTAGTCTGCAACCGCGTTTTCGTACGATAATCGCACCGTTGATGGGAAGTGCACAACCGCAATTACTGTACAACCGTTCGACTTTTGTCTTTCTAGCAGACTAGAAAACTTTTATCGAATCGTACGAAATTCGATGGATTAGTGGCGTTTTCGTACGAAAAACAAGAATTCTGCTCATGTGCAAACGAAAAGCTGATCTGTCAATCGACGAAATTCGGCCAGGTAATATTGCTAACAAACGCTAATTGAAATCCACAATGGTCTGTGCATGATGGGGCAGTTGAACGAAAATCGAACGACGGTTCGATCATCGTATGAAAATGATCGTGCGATGCTTGTAAGGTGTACGGGCACCTTAAGACTGGGAGGAGGTTTGGGGGCCTACAATATAAGTGTAACTGCACAAAAAGGTGCCTTAACTCTTTAAAAATAAAATTGTTGATGTTACCTTGCTGCTGCTCCTCCTTTTTCTCCTGAGGTAAAAACTAGACAGCCTTCTACTAATTTTCAGGATTCACTGTTTTGACTTGGTTAGTCTGAGGATGCATTGCGCACTGGAGAACTAGTAACATTTGTCTCGCAGGGTGAGCAGACCATGTACTGCGGCACCAGGATGGCACCCTGAACACCACAAGATTTATGAAAGACAAAACCCTTTGCTTGTGAATATATATTAAAGTTTATCATGATTTGTTTATAAAACACAATGTAGACTTCATGTATAAGTGCACTGTCACAACAGCTTACTTCTTTTAACAGATCCAGGTACAATAAGAAAGATGGTAAATACACGTGCTCACATTTTTCTGTTCCATGAACATGTTCTGTAAGCCATGGTGGTGATAGGGTTGGTCTCCATCAATAATGCGATAAGACAAGGCACATTCACATCATTTGCTTTTAGTGGGGTGATAACAGGGGTAGCAGTGTTAGTAGTCTCTAGTGGAATCATGGTCTTTGTGGGCCCAAATCTGACTCACCTTTAGGAATATGTGTCTCTTTCTGCTTCAATGCATGAAGCACCATGAGGTCTCTGATTGACGGAAGTGGTTTTTCATGCTTAGAAGTGTGATATTGTGAATGAGTGTTGAGTGGTAGGTGCATTATAACCAATACAAATGGACTCCTCCTGTGCATATAAATAGATATCAATGGGTACTGAGCACTAAAACAGAGGGAGAGGAAAGCAATGTTCTTTGATGCTAAATTTCAATCTGCACATAATGTGCATTTCTTTCCGTTCCTCCATCAACATGCTAATTATATTTTTACATAAAACCATTAAATTTTCATGACATACCTTATTATAGATCCCTTGACATAATCACTGGGTCTCCGTGTTATGCAATGCAGAAAAATCAGGGCTGGAGGGAGGGGGCAGCAGGGTTCTGTACATAGCTTCCTGAAACCATCACAGCACCCTGCTTTGCACTTTTCTCAAGAACCCTCAGCCCTGATGGAAGCAGTGGGATGGGTGTTGGAAGGAGTTGTGCAAATATCCAAATGCCTTCATGGGTAGATGTCAACCTACAGAATTGTGTGTTCCTAGGCAGACTGTATTTGTATGCAGACTGCTTTAAGTACTGCCCACAGAAGCTGGGGGACATTCAGGCTGGGGTGGAAAGAGCTAGTTTCATGCTGGATGTCCTCCAGCCAGAAAATGAGGCAGGTTCTATCTGACTTGCTGCAGCTTCTAATGCACGTTGTGAGAAGCTCACAGTGTGCAGTGAAATCAGAGTAAGCAATATCAGTCCAGAAGAGGAACAACTGTGCAAGACTGAAGGCAAGGCCGGAGTTCAGCTTTAAAATATTTTCCATTCAAGCCAAGAGCTCAACAGCTCTATGTGATGGATTTTACTTTGCACAGCTCAAATGTTTAGTCTAAGCAGTTTGTCAACAGCTAATATGCTGCGTTTGTAATAGATGGCACAGCACACGGTGTTGGCTTTACGGCACCAGCCAGTAGCCAAAGAACTGCATGTCCTGGAATTGCTTTACACAATACAACTCAGTACCCTCATTTGGTTTTGCAGTCTAAGCCATTGGTTGAACAGCTCCATGTGCTGGGTTTGCATAGCACACACCCCATGATCACCTTAGCCAATAGTTATGCTGGATTTGCACAACATAACGCCACACCCTTTTTGGTCCTACACCCGAGCCATGATATGCTGTGGGGTCCTGATTTGCATCTAGACATTCGGATGAATTTTCCAAAATTCAGACACATCCGAATTTCCGAATCCCAATGTATCCGAATGTATCCAAATCCAAATTTCCGTTTCTGAATTTCGTTCAAAAACGAAAATGAATCGGACATGGGACTTTTCTGGCCAATCAGATGTGTTTTTCGGTTTAATGCATCCGAATGGGTCTGAACAGGAATTTTCTTTACGGCAACATGGGAGCCATATACAGTGCATACATATAATACTAAAGCTCCTAGACCCAAATGGGATTAGAGATCCGAATTTCCAAAATGCTATTTGAGAGCCTCAGCTTTAGTAATATATGTATATGGCTCCCAGACCGGAAGGGCATTCGGGAGCTCCCGAATGCAATTCAGAATTTCGGATCCCAAATGCCATTCGGGTCTAGGAGGTTCAGCTTTAGTATTTATATCTGTATATGATTTTCTGTGGTATTCGCAACAAATATTCGTAAACTCGTCCGAAACTAACGAAAATTCGGATTTCTTCTGAACACGAAACCCAAACCAAATTGAATTTCGGATCCGAATCCCGAAATAACGAAATATCTGAACAGAACCAAATTTTTCTGCAGCTTACATGTCTATTTGCATCCTCTTATCTGGGATGGGAGGTGTATAGCTATTCCCCCCTCCATATTCTTGACTTATCTGTTTGGCCATATGTACAGTAGAAAATGTGTGAATCGTAGTGGAATGTTGAACATATCAAGTAAAGGCACGAACACCTCTAAATACAAAGAACACTTCACACAGGTATAATGTGTTTACTAGCTAGGAAAACAAGGTTTTCTTGACTTTTCGTCAGTCCCCTTGTTAATTTGGCTTTCTTCACCTGGCAGGTCCGTTCACTAACAAAAATACCTTTCACGTCTCTTTAAAGCATAAAAAAATGTAAACAATTTCAAGTTGAAAATTTTGTCAACTGAGCTCCTGAGTTTGTTTGACACGTACATAAATAAATATATCTATACTTTTCAAAATGTCATAAAAGCACAAAAAAATATCGATCCATAAAAGGAAAGCAAAATGCAATCTTAGCAATCAAGTAATTTCAAAACACCATCTTTAAAATCTCTTTTAAGTGCCCATTTTTCGCTCAGAATATGTCCATTGCCATGGTTTCTCCTCCTGCTTTCCAAAAAATGCACGGAAATGATATTGCAGTTCAAGTTCGTCATTTTGGATTGCAGACAACGAGATCTCTCTATTGCACAGTAAACTAGCACAAGTGTCCTTATCATGAGATGTTCCTTTAGACTAAGAACAAAAAAAGTTCCATTGAAGTTGATGGAGAGTAAACTCTGCAGGGGTAAAACAATACCTTCTCGGATCGGCAAATGCAGGTTTTTGTTTATTAGACCTTTCCAGATTATTTCTTCAATATCCTGTTTATCTGCTATGTGTGCCAAAGTGCAAGACCATTTCCAAACACCTTCCACAACTGACAATATGGTGGCTTGTAAAGTCAAAGCACACCGAGATGAAGATCACCGAAGGCAAATTGATTCTTTTTTACTCATCCATAGTGTGAAATCTATGCCACCCTGCAAGCTTAAAACACCCCTAAATTAAATTCAAATTTGGCAATTTGATTTTTATCAGCTCTTATGCCTCCAGTGTCCATAATAGAATCTATGGTGGACCTTGAAGTCCATGTACTCCTTGATGATGTTCTTTTTTCCATCTACTGATTCTTAAAGCTTTCCATAATGGAAGCTATGGTAACCCGTGAGGTCCAAACATATCCAGATGCAGGTCCTGATTGGCAACAGCAGTATACCATGTGAAAAAGTTAAAAAATTAAGACTTTCAGTTTCTCATCTCTTCTCGCATTCACCAATTTGAAGCTTCAGAACTCCTTTATGATGGAGTTGAAGGACTTGATAAAACTCTTTGGGCATGGCGTGAAAGCCAGGCTTTGGTAGCTGGTTGTCATAGTAGTGGTGGCTGATAGGTTTCCCGTCCTGGTTCTTAGAGAAAGGCCAGAATCCATACAGTGTGACGTCCTGGCAGAGTTCTATGGCTGCACTGGTTATCATAAATCCGGTGGACAGACGGTAGGCCCGAACTCCCCTCCCTCTCCAAAACTGAGCAAGGCTTTTAAGGTAGTTGGGATGGAAAAATATAGCTTTCTGCTTAGCTTGGTATTTCTTCAGTAAGTGGTGGACTTCGAAAGAGATGGCTGTGTTACTGCTATAGGAAAATGCAGGTAACAACAGGGACGAGTACCCATAACTGGTGAGGTTTTTCAGAAAGGCAGTTTTCATGTCATTGAGTTTTCCATATCTGCACAAACAAATGGTGATACAGGTTGTGTAATACCAAATGTAATAAGACAATGAATTATATGAGTAACATTTACATTTCAATAAATACTTTTTGTATGCACCGTATAGTGCTTTGTGTATGTATAATGTTCTATGTATAGGGTTTTGACTTAAAGGAGTTGACATACTAAAGGCAAATAAATTGTTCACTTTGCAAGGGAATTTTCCCTTAATTTAGTGAATAGCCAATCATGTGCAAGTGAAATAAGAAAAAAAGCTTTTTTGCTTGAACATGATTGGATTATGGAAGACAGCAGGGCTTCATCTCATTCTCATTCTCATTTGAAATCCCCTTTCAAAGTGAACAGACTATTTACCTTTAGCAAATCAACCCCAAAGTGTATCTAAAGCCAATACATTTTTTAGGTTTTGGATGGAGTGGGAAGCGTGAGAACCTCTGTCAGATTTATATTACTGTCTATGACCCCACTGCGGAGATCTACTTAATCACTGGTGACCATTGCCTCGGGCAGAAAATGATGGACAATCCAAAATTTTACATTTGTCATTGGAACAAGATCAGCTGAGAATTCTTCCAATGAGGATAACTGTTCTGGTGACAACTAAGAAGAGATTCCCCCTCACTTTGGAGAGTTTTCATCTAATTTCCTGTTGCTGGGACAGGAAGAGAAGAAAAATATCCCAATGGGACACAGACAAAAAACAAAATCGATGCCCTACTGTATTCTAAGCTAATAAAGTGTTGGCTTTAAATGCACTTTAAACAACTCTTCTTTAAAACATATGCAAGCAGCTATTGCAAACTTCCTATGGAAAATTATAAATTCTTGGCTGTTTTACTGATTCTCTAGTCAGTAAAAGCACTAAAGATTTCGGAAACACACTTTATGGCCAAATATTAGTGAACACAAGACCTTCACACCCATATGTGCTTGTTTAACAACATCCCATTCCAAAACAAGATGGATTTGCCTCCTTTGTGGCTATAATAGCCTCCACTCTTCTGGGAAGGCTTTCTACAAGGTTGTGAAGTGTGTCTGTGGGAATTCGTATTCATTCTGCCAACAGAAAATTTGTGAGGTCAGGTACTGAACAAGAAGACCCAGAGGGTTATTCACAGAAGAGCCGAAGGATCCAGCTGTAGCTTCGGCTGATCCTTCGGCTCTCTTCGGCCGCCTGAGCCCTTCGGCTCAGTTGAACTGTAGGGCTGCTGTATGGGCTATTCACAATAGCCCATACAGCAGCCGAAGGCAACCGAGCGACTCAGCCGAGCCGAACCCATATGGTCCGCCCAGTTGTTTTTTTTGCTCGGGACCTGCTAGAAGACTCTGGCAGGTGTCGGCCAATAGTAAACCGTTGGGCGGAGCTAGTGGTGATGTCACCGCTAGCTCCGTCCAATTGTTTATATTTTGCCGGCATCTGTCAGATTCTACATTATATGGTGGGAGTTTGTCGCGTGCGGTCGGGTCGGTGTGCGTTGTTTTTTTTTTCTTTAAAATTTTTTTTGATTATTTTGTTAACTTTTTTACATTTTCCTGTTTTTTTACATTTATTGAATGAGGTAGCGAGCAGAACAGCAGAGCCCAAATGCTGCTCGGCAGCATTCGGCTATTCACTCACTGCCGATCTGCCCCTATGAGAATAGGGGCGAACAGCAGCGATTGAGCAGCCTGAGCTTTGGCTCAGCCGATCCAGATGTTCAGCTGAGTCAAACTCCTTCGGGACTTTGGCTCAGCTGAACATGCAGAGCATGTTCGGTTGACCGAAGGCGGCTGAAGGCAGCCGATGTATGACTGCTTTTAGCCGATGTACAGCATTCGGCTCACTTCACTTCGGCTGGGTTTTTCACTCGCCAGCCTTCGGCAGCTTTGTGAAAAAAACCCCCCTGGATTGCAGCTGGTGTTCCCATTCATTCCAAAGGTGAAGGGTAGGGTTGAGTTCAGTCAGGGCTCTGTGCAGAACACTTGAGTTACTTTACATGAAACTGGGCAAACAGTGTCTACATGGAGCTGACTTGCCAGAGTTTAAAGATTAAGGGGTCTATTCACAAAGCTGCCGAAGGATCTGGCCGTAGCTCCGGCCGATCCTTCGGCTAGCTTCGGCACCAGGACCCCTTCGGTTCAGGAGAACCGAGGGGGTGCTGTACGGGCTATTCACAATAGCCCGTACAGCACCCCCTCGGTTCTCCTGAACCGAAGGGGTCCTGGTGCCGAAGCTAGCCGAAGGATCGGCCGGAGCTACGGCCAGATCCTTCGGCAGCTTGGTGAATAGACCCCTTAACCTTTAAACTCTGGCAAGTCAGCTCCATGTAGACACTGTTTGCCCAGTTTAAAGATTAAGGGGTCTATTCACCAAGCTGCCGAAGGATCTGGCCGTAGCTCCGGCCGATCCTTCGGCTAGCTTCGGCACCAGGACCCCTTCGGTTCAGGAGAACCGAGGGGGTGCTGTACGGGCTATTCACAATAGCCCGTACAGCACCCCCTCGGTTCTCCTGAACCGAAGGGGTCCTGGTGCCGAAGCTAGCCGAAGGATCGGCCGGAGCTACGGCCAGATCCTTCGGCAGCTTGGTGAATAGACCCCTTAACCTTTAAACTCTGGCAAGTCAGCTCCATGTAGACACTGTTTGCCCAGTTTAAAGATTAAGGGGTCTATTCACCAAGCTGCCGAAGGATCTGGCCGTAGCTCCGGCCGATCCTTCGGCTAGCTTCGGCACCAGGACCCCTTCGGTTCAGGAGAACCGAGGGGGTGCTGTACGGGCTATTCACAATAGCCCGTACAGCACCCCCTCGGTTCTCCTGAACCGAAGGGGTCCTGGTGCCGAAGCTAGCCGAAGGATCGGCCGGAGCTACGGCCAGATCCTTCGGCAGCTTGGTGAATAGACCCCTTAACCTTTAAACTCTGGCAAGTCAGCTCCATGTAGACACTGTTTGCCCAGTTTAAAGATTAAGGGGTCTATTCACCAAGCTGCCGAAGGATCTGGCCGTAGCTCCGGCCGATCCTTCGGCTAGCTTCGGCACCAGGACCCCTTCGGTTCAGGAGAACCGAGGGGGTGCTGTACGGGCTATTCACAATAGCCCGTACAGCACCCCCTCGGTTCTCCTGAACCGAAGGGGTCCTGGTGCCGAAGCTAGCCGAAGGATCGGCCGGAGCTACGGCCAGATCCTTCGGCAGCTTTGTGAATAGACCCCTAAATCATCTTTTAGCTTTTTACACTATATCAGAGGTATAGTCATTCAGTTAGCCATGCTTTGTCTCTCCTCCAATTTGTCAGTCAATACAGGCACATACTATTGTCTGCATTAATTAAAGTAGCAGGTATGTGGGGGATGTCACACTGCAATATGAATATCTTTGCACTAAACAATCATTTGCATGAAGTTTTTTTTTTTTTTTTTTACAACAAACCAACTTACTTTAAAGCAATGATGCTAGGATTCACTGTGACAAGGTCCGTCCTATTTCCAACATCAACACTAACGTTACCCCAAATAGGTGGGAGGTTACATCTGGAACACACAGAACAAGAACAGCATAATTTATTCTGAAGCCAGTTAAGTCAATAGAGTTTTACAAATAGCTGTTGAGGAGTCACATAACAAAACCTTTCAAGCTAAGGTGATGCAGAGTCTGGAATACAATAAACTCTCCTAGTGAATAATTATGTACATAGTCTGCTCATAAAGTTCTGGGGCTGATTTATTAATGGAGTAGAAAATGTTCACATAGTTTCCACACTATCAGAAAATTTCTAAGCTTTGCCTTTTGGAATGGACTGGCAGAGATACTGGAAAATAAGGTTTGTGTTCTGCAATGATCACAATAGTAGTATGGATACTGGGGAGTGAGCTATATGTTCTGCAGTCCACATCGTATTAGTGGTATATGGACACTGGAAATTGAGTTGAGTGTTCTGCAGTGCAGTTGTGTTTTTTTGTGGTATATGGACAGTGTAAATTGAGTTGTGTGTTGTGCAGAGCAGATTTTATGTGTGGTACATTGAGGTTGGGGAGTAAGCTGTGTGTGCTGCAGTGTAGATCTTGTTAGTGGCTGTACTTGCCAAAATGGATACCTTTTGGATGAAAGGTATATATCCTTTCTTTTTTCTTCAGGTGATGGGCTATTTAAAAGCCAACACAGTGGTAATGAGTGAGAGGGCTGATAAGGAAGTAGATGGTAGAGAGGAAGGAGAGAGAGCTGGGAGGGTTGGTGAATGCTGCACCTGTTTGATTTGCATGTACATGTCCACTATTGGCTGGGCTCTGTAGTAGCACAGTGTTTGGATAGTGTTTTCTCCACTAAAGTTTTCCTCACTGAAGTAAGTATATCTTTTTCCCTGTTACTGGGACTAAAAGGGGGAATTTGAGTTTTCTTTTGTGAATATTGCCTGAGTTAAACAAAGGGCTATGCCATTCAAAAAAGTGTCCCACGATTGTGCTAATCTCCAAACATTGCATGGTGTATGGACATATAGAAGTGAGCTCTGTGTGCTGTAGTGCAGATGTTATTGGTGGTATGGACTAGAGTGTGAGCTTTGTGTGCTGCAGTACAGGTTTTGCTTGTGGCATGGATATGGAAGAGTGAGATTTGTGTGCTGCAGTGTAAAATTCCTTACTGGTATATGGACACTGGGGATTGAGCTCTGTGTGCTGCAGTACAGATCTAATTGGTGACATGGATACTGGACAGTAAGTTTTGTATGCAGAACTGCAAATTTCATTGGTTGCAAGGGTACTAGGGTGTGAGACCTGTGTGCTGCAGAACAGATCTATTTGTAATTATGGATACTGGAAAGTGAGCTTTGTATGCTGCAGTGCAAATCGCATCCCTTGTATATGGATGCTGGTGAGATTTGTGTGCTGCAGTACAGATCTCACTGGAGGCATGGATACTGGAGAGTGAGCTTTGTGTGCTTCAGAGAAGATCTTATTACTGGTATATGGACACTGGGGAGTGAGATCTTCCTGTAGCAGAGCAGATCTCATTGGTGGCATGGATGCTAGAGAATGAGCTTTGTGTGCGGCAGTGCAGATCTCATTGAAGGCATGTATACTGGACAGTGAGCTTGCTGTACAGATCTCATTGGAGATATGGTTACTGGAGAGTGAGTTGTGGGTGTTGCAGAGCAGATCTCATTACTAGAATATGGATACTGTGGAGTGAGATATGTGTGCTGCAGTTCATCAGATCTCATTAGTGCCATGGATATTGGAGAGTGAGTGTGCTGCAATACAAATCTCACCGGAGGCATGGATACTGGACAGTGATATTTGGGTGATGAAGTAGATATAATTGGTTGCATGGATGCTGGGGAGTGACATCTACCGTATGTGTTGAACATCAGATCTCATTAGTGCCATGTATATTGGGGAGTGAGTGTGCTACAATACAATTCTCACTGGAGGCATGGATATTAGAATTAGATCTTTGGGTGATGCAGTACAGATATCATTGGTGGCATGGCTGCCTAGGATTGAGCTTTGTGTACTAAAGAGCAGATCAAATTAGATCTATGGATACTGGGGAGTGAGCTTTGTGTGCTGCACAAAACATCTCATTAGTTCCATGGATAATGGAGAGTGAGTCTAGGGGGTTGATTTACTAACCTTATAAACACACCACGAACATGTATACACCTCTGTAGTGTGTTCCCTCCCAGCATTATCTATGGGTGGAATCTAAACACCTTTGTAGTGCGTACACACCCAGCAGGTGTGTTGTGCAAAGCCCTGCCCTGGATTGCAAGGTGATGTTGTGTAAATTAGCTCTATGTTGTGTTGCTTGCGTTGATGAATGCAGGAATGTAAATGCATGAGCTAACCATTTTTGTCTAAACTGTGAAGCAGCATTATATATGCATCATGTGCATGATTTTTCCATATATGGCATTAGTGGAAATATGCTTATAGAGACTTTTTGGTTGATAAATACGCTTTGCTGTGTAAAAATCACACGCACCTGGTGCGTGCGTGTGTTTAGGTTAGTAAATCACCCCCTAGATCTCACGTGTAGTAAAAATACTTCCTGTGTGTGCATTAATTCATTGATTTTCCTTTACTTCCTGTGTGTTTAGTCTATCCTTTAGCACTTAATTTACTTCCTGCGCGTGCGGGAACTGCTAAAAATCAGCAAATTCTGGAAATGTAAACACTTAACTAGCCTAAAAGGTGTTTTTTTAATATCCACCAGGAGTTCAGCTTTAAAAAATACTCCACTTTCTATTTGTAGAGTTGATAAATCTTAACACTTTTGGACCACCCATGAAAACCTCCAGACTACTGTGTACTAGCCGATAAAAGTGTTAAACTCCTATAAAGCACGACTTATTTACACATGCCTCTAACAACCTCCTTTGAGCACGTTCCTTCTTGTCATAAGATTTACAAGAGCGCAGATCTCCCGGGGTCAGTGAGGCTCATCTCCAGTTAATATGTCATAAATCGCTTGAGTCATGGAGATAAATTGGGAAGTTGTTAGTCGTTCAAGAACAAAGCAAAGGACAATGACTTAATGTTCTCCAGATCCCAAGTGTTCTTTAATCTAACAGATCATTACAACTTCACAATTTACAGCCAGAGAACTACCTTCCATCAAATATTAATCACATTATTCTATCCAGCTAAATCGTCTCCTAAAGACTCGGGTTACATGGTGTTCAGGACGTTAAGAAAAATTAATATGGCTCATAAATAGCGCTGCTTACACAGCAGCTTAATGAAAAATAACGAAGTGACTTTTACTGCCTTCATTTATTACAGTTAATAAAGAAGTCCGGATCATGCATATCCTTGTTTTATTTAAAGTTTGCTCAACTACAGAGCATTGATGATATGGTGCCAACTTGAAGAAGACCTATTAAGGCAGAACAAGCTTCTTCCATTAAAGGGAATGTTAAGTCTTTTTATATATTTAGGGGGTTATTCACATAACTGCCGAAGGCAGACGAGTGATTAACTGAGCCGAAGTGAAGTGAGCCAAACGCTGTCCGGTTAGTCACTTCAGCCTTGTACGGCTGATTTCAGCCATACATCTGCTAATATCAGCCGTACATCGGCTGCCTTCGGTCAGCCGAACATGCTCTGCCACCCACTGTGATATACCTTGTGCGACCGACTTGCTGTGAACACTTTTTTATTTTTATGGTTCTTTTTATATATTTAATTTATTTGTTTCTTAACTGTTTTGATGCTGCTGTTATCTGTCATGTATTTCACAATGGAGTGTTCTCTCTCATGATTTTAGTTTGGTTCTACACTGTTGTTCTTTTTTTTAATCTTCATTAAGATTTCTAATATTAAAAAAAAAAAAAAATATGGTCAGAAAACGCTGCACTCAGGGGTACACACGCAACCACTGGCACAATCATTTGTATGCACACGTGAGTCTATCTATGATCAATCATTCATGTATCTTTATGTGTGTGGCCAGCGTAACGTATGTGTGCCACAATCATATAGAAATACCAGGGCCAAATTGAGTGGAAGATGATTAACCTATGGGACCTCTAAAATGTGTGGATCGGCATTTTGAGGAGCCGGGAAGGTGACACTAACATGTCCACCCTGTGCTTAGCAAATCAAATTTAGGTGGACCTTTAAAAATAAATATGTCAATGTAACTGGTTGGTTAGAAGTAGTTAGCACTGTAACCTTGCAGCACTGGGGTCTCAGCTCTTGTTCTCACCATCTCTGTGTATTTCTTTCAACAGTCTAAAGCTGGCCATAGACTGCAAGATTTTTTTCTTCTTGGACAAGAAAAATCTCTTGGTTCCCACATCCATGCTTGGTCCCCCCACCACCCAGCCTTGCACACCTGCTGCTGTTTGACTATCCGAACAATGACTGCAGCTGCTTGGCTTGGGTGCGTGGCCCAAAGGGCATGGTAGTCAGTAGGACGATATTCGACTAGTGTATGGTCAGCTTTAGACCATACTAGTAGGTGTGTGCTTAAATTGACCCTAGAGAGTGTGTACAGTTGTACAGCCAATAGACTGTAAGCCCCTCCAAGTCAGGGTTTCAAGCTGACCATTCAACATTCTCCCTGGGAAAATAGAAAATGGAAGCTGAACGTTTCAGATGTAAAGAGAAGAAATGCACAAGGTTTACCTTACCGAAAGACAAAATCTGACTGGTCGATTTTGGCTCCGCAGCTGCTGTTCTTTAGTATTCCACCGTTGCCAACTACAGCACATTGCTTGAAGGGAATTCCATCAAAGGGCTGTGACTAAAATATTAACATAATTGCATCAATAACACTTCTGGTTTGTTACTTTATTTTTCACATGATAAAGTCAGAAGCTTCAACGACAAAATTATTTTCTGTTTATAGTGTTTTCCCTGTCAATAAGAAATCAAGAAATAACTCCCAGGAGTAGGGGTCCCCCATTAGCCATCTTCTTCAGCCCCTTCAGAACAGTACATGTAGTAATACCTCTTACAGCATCCTGATCCACCCAATATTCTGTTTTAACACTGCCATTTTTAAAAAGGGGAGATAAATCCATCTCCCTTTACTTCCTTATCAGAAGAGCTGTGAAGAATTGGGTGCAAGGAAGGCATCACTGGACTTAAGGAGGAACTTTATCCATATCTTTGAAATGAAACAGGCAACTTTCTTCTGACAATGGCCATTTTTAAAAAGGGGAGATAAATCCATCTCCCTTTACTTCCTGGCACATGTGACTAGGCCATGTGACCATGCACATCATTTCAGGGGAGGAAAATGCCTTTCCCTGAGAACTTATGAGATTACAGATGAGATTTCCCAGCAATGCTTTGCTGATGTAACCTTCTCAGTAGGAATGCCAATGCCGAGTATTTGGGCGAGTACTCGTACTGGCCCAAATGCTCCGAGGCCTAGCCCAATAATTCCAGTATCAGGAAGCCGGGCAGCGCGTCATTACACGCTGCACGGCTTTCTGATTGGCTGGGTAGCCGGCTCCATGCTCTCTCGTCACTTGTAATGATGTGCTGCCCGGCTTTCTGATTGGTCGGAAGCTGGACAATCAGGACCCAGGCGCCGTGTAATGACGCGGCACCCGGCTTTCTGATTGGTCGGGAAGCCGGCTTCATGCACCCTCCTCACCTCATGACGAGGGAGCATGGAGCCGGCTTCCCGGCCAATCAGGAATCTGAGCGCCGCGTCATTACACAGTGCCCGCCTTCCTGATTGGCAAGAAAGCCGGCTTAATGCTTTCTCGTCACCTAGTGACGAGAAGCATGGGGACGGCTTCCATGCTAATCGGGAAGCCGGGTGCCGCATCATTACATGCCGCCTGGCTTCCTGAATGGGACTTTTCGCCGAGCACCGTAAAAAAAATAATCGACACTGGTGCTCGATACTGAAATACCGGTATTAGTGTATCCCTACTTCTCAGGATGCAATGCTTGAGCACAGGCTGCATCTCTAATGCCCAGGAGGACCAGGAGGTGGAAAAACAATAATTGTATGCATGAAGAAAAACATGAGGGTGCATGAAGAAAAACATGTTTGTTTAACTAATGAATGTAAGATGATTTCATATCAGCACACAGAGCTGCATGTTGAGGTGATTTTTAGTGAAAGGGGGTAAAGGTCGGCTTTGATGGGCTGGGAAGTATTTTTTTTTTTTTACAGTAATTGTAGCTGCTGACGTTTGCTTTTCCCATAGTCGGGTGAAGTTCCTTTTTAGAAAAGGAATTTTTACAAAGTGGTTCATCATAGATAAAAAGAAGAGAATACTAGAACTGATTACCTGTTGGGTAATCTTATTAAACATAATGAACAGCTGCCATTGAAGTGCCTCCTTTTCCCTATACTGTCAGCTTCCATAGAGGATACATAGCAAGCTCCATACACGTCAAATATCTCATTATCTGCACAGGAGTGAGAAGTTCCGCCTGCAGTACAGAGTTGTTGAAGTGCACTGATCTGCATACTTCTTGATCTGAGTCACTGAACTGGAAAGCATTTGCTCTCAATTTGCTCTCAATTCCTGATTGACCACAGATAAAGTATGGAGAACATAACAGAAACACAGACAAAGAATATAACGAATGGTCCTGCAACATGACTCAGAGTTCTGAAAATGTATTAATGCATCGCCAAACAGCTAAAAAAAAAGGACACAGTCTGCTAACCTGTTTTAGCCTTGAGTCGCCTTAATCATAGCCGTGAATCATGAGCTATGATTAAGTCCATTCAAGGCTAAAACGCGTCAGCAGACTGTGTGCTTTTATGAACATTTTGCCTATGCATTAATACAGATTCAGAACTCATGCAGGACCAATCATTATATGCTTTTATGTGGGGGCGAATGGGAGCCCATTTGTACATCGGCATTTCTCTCTGGAGAGAACAGACTGACAAGGTTGAGCAGGTATATATTTCATTCATACAAAGAGAAAGCCGACAGAGGTTCTCACCTTTGTTTTCTCTTTAATTTCCATTTTAAAACTTTGTTGATTCTTTAATTTGCAAATAGATTTACATGCGGGCAGCCATATGTCATCGTTACATACACACAATCTCTTTCTTGCTTAATAGTAGTTCACATGGACAGTACTTCACAGCCCCTCTCTCTTTCCCAATAGTCCAATTGTTTTATTGAAGCAATCACATCACAATGTCAGTGCAGCGTTTCGAGGCCAGGCAGCACTTTTTCGTCAGGCACGTGATGGCACGCAGGATTTTATTTATCCTGGCATATGCACAGCAAAGTGTACATTGTCAATAAGAACGCGAATAGGCAGATAAGAATCCTTTACTGCAGAAGAGACATAGGGGTACATATATGAACAATTCACAGAGCCATTCACTGTGCAAATGTCTGTTAATGTTCGTTCTCTGTGAATATAGTAAAAAACAAATGTTCTTTGTATATTTCCTTTTCAGGTTGAATGCAATGTAATGTGATAACACATTATGGCCACTAGGTGGATCTGAGGAGCATAGGAAATCACCTCCATCTGGTGGCTATAATGCAATATTACATTACTTCAACCTAAAGAGAAAATATATGAAGAATGTTAGGTTTTGCTTCTAAGTTACACAGAATGAACGTTCACAGAGATTCGAGGGGCAAATGGCTCTGTGAAATGTTTATAAATAGACCCCACAGTATGTGTCTTCTGCAATAAAAAGCCTGACTGTTTAACTTGTTATAATTATACTTAAAATAGAACTGTGGGATAAGTGTTTTTCCCCATAGTTCTCTTTAGGGTCACGAGAGGACATATACTAACCTCCTCCCGTGACCCAAAGCTCAGTATATTGCGGAATACTGAGAGCGCTGCAGCCGGGACGGATCCTGACAATACTGTTGTGATCTACCCAGCTGCGTGAGTGACAGCTGGCTCTGCCTATCTAGAGGCAGAGCCAGCTGTGCCCGCCCCCTCCCACATTCGTTCCTCCACTCAGCGCTGGAGGATCAGAGAGGGGAGGGGGGACAGTCACCACTCTCTGCAGGGAGATGATCGAGAAGTGAGTGGATTGCCTGCATGTTTCTGCTCACTTCCAATCTATAGAGCCGACCTGTGACAGCTTCTTTGTCACAGGTCGGCTCTAGCTATGAGGATGAGTAGAAATCACTCACCTCATAGTTCTCCTTCAAATGTCCACTTTAAAGTGTTTTATTGCCATTATGTACCTGTTAGAGAGATGTACCCTCACTTCCTGCCCTGGTTACAATGTTAGCACTGGGACAGGAAGCGAGCGAGTGGTAGGAATTGGCATTTAATAAGGCAGCTGCTGTGCTCCTGTAGTGACTTTCAAGCTTGATGGAAAAGGTCTACTGGCACTTCCACAATATTGATAAGAAAATGTTATTAATTTTGCCATTGTATGTCAAGTTTTATTATCAGAATTTCATTAGTAAAATGAGGCGCTGAGTGTCTATAGTGAGGAGTTATAAGACGCACGCTGGAGGATTCGGAAATTACTCTTCTGCATTTGGGCCTCTGCCAACTGATATAATTGTGTGATGTTATTAGCTGCCACATGAGCCGTACGAATCCTTTTCTTTCCCAGGTGATGTGAGGGAAGGAATTCCGACAACTGTTTACAGCCTAAAGGTGCCCATACACTGCACGATTATCGTACGATAATCGTATGCGATCGGTTTTTCGTACGATAATCGAGCAGTGTGAACGGAGACGTGCGACCGTTTCTACTGTACGGTCGCACGTCTTCTGTCGAACCAGCATGTTCGAAAACCAGCCGGGAATCGTACGATTCTCGGCTGGTTAGAACGGTGCACCGGAAGATAAATGCTGAACGGGCCGGTGTGCGCACGCGCACACTGCCCGTTCAGCATTGCGGTCATCGGAAGCCCGCCCCTCAGGGGGGCGGGCTTGCGATGATCGAGAGTGCGATCTGCCTGTCCAAGATAGGCAGATCGTACGTTTTTTTAATCCCTTTACAACCATCGCAAGACTAAAGTCTTGCGATGGTTGTAGAGTGTATGGCCACCTTTAGAGGGATATCTGTCATCCCTACATTAAGGGCTGTATTTACCAAACAGGTAGCCCAGGCATGTGCCTCGGGCCAAAACCTCAAGGGGCCATAAACCTTATGTAAAATGAATCCATACAAACTCTCGTTCTAGGCATTTTTGTTCTTGTGGTTATTTAGACATACTCATTAACAATTATGTCCCATTTACAGACATGGACACATTTGTTGGTACCCCTACAGCGTTTGAAACAATGCTTCACTCTTGCTTAAAGTGATGACATGCAAATAATTATATCATGTATATCTGCAAAGCAAGAGTGAAAAGAGATAAAGTATTGCTTATTCTACAAAGATATTCTAAAATGGTCTAGACAGATATATTGGTATCCCTAGAAAAAGTTATATCTATAATTGGATCAAAGTGATATTTCAAGCCAACAGTTTTCTGTAATAAGTATCACATGACTTCAATCTTATAATCAGTCAGTCAACCTATATAGATGGGTAAAAGATGGGTAAAAATTTTAAAACCATCTTCAAGCAACTTAAATCAAATACAATATGCTTCGTGCCAATATCAAACCCTGCAACGAGCACTAAAGTGACATATCACAAAATATCCAAAGATAACCGATTAATATTGTGCTGCTCTATATTTCTACTAATTACAAAGTGCAAAACAATTGCTTAATAATGTAAACTAATACAGTGAATCACTTGAATTCATTTACAAACAACCTACTTAAAAGTCACATATCATTCCTCAACTTATGCTATTATCGTGGTTCCCA